CCCAAACAGCCCCACTGGGAATTGGAATTTTGGGGAGCCATTCCTGCTGCTCCAGCCTGGGCATGAAGGGCTGGATCATCCCAGCCTTGTATCCCAAACAGCCCCACTGGTAATTGGGATTTTGGGGAGCCATTCCCTGCTGCTCCAGGCTGGGCTTGGATGGCTGGGTCAGCCCAGCCCTGCACCCCAAACAGCCCCACTGGTAATCGGGATTTTTGGGGAGCCATTCCTGCTGCTCCAAGCTGGGTCAGCCCAGCCCTGCACCCCAAACAGCCCCACTGGGAATTGGGATTTTGGGGAGCCATTCCCACTGCTCCAGGCTGGGTCAGCCCAGCCCTGCACCCCAAAGAGCCCCACTGGGAACTGGGATTTTGGGGAGCCATTCCATGGTGCTCCAAGCTGGGTCAGCCCAGCCTTGTATCCCAAACAGGCCCACTGGGAATTGGGATTTTGGGGAGCCATTCCTGTGGGTCCTGGCTCAGCCTGGGGGCCCTGCAGGGGTTGGGGCTGGAGCTGGAGCTGTTTCCTGGCAGGGCCTGCAGCAGCGGGACGGCTCCTCCCTCCCACCCCGGCACTGCCACTTCGCCCTCAACGGGAAATCCTTCCAGGTGGTCTGCGAGCACTTCTCCGAGCTGCTGCCCAGGGTGAGTGGGCAGGGAGCCCCAGGGGCCTTGGGGAACCCTCCAGTGCCTTGGGGAACCCTCCAGTGCTTTGGGGAACCTTCCAGTGCCACTGGGAACTCTCCAGGGCAGCTGGGAACCTTCCAGTGCCTCTGGAAACCTTCCAGTGCCACTGGGAACATTCTAGTGCTGCTGGGAACCTTATTCACTGCTGGACATTCCCAGTTCCCAGCTGGACAATCCCAGTTCCCTGCTGGACATTCCCTGTTCCCAGCTGGACAATCCCAGTTCCCTGCCCAGCTGGACATTCCCAGTTCCCTGCTGGACATTCCCATTTCCCTGCTGGACATTTCCAGTTTCCAGGTGGACATTCCCTGTTCCCAGCTGGACAATCCCAGTTCCCTGCCCAGCTGGACATTCCCAGTTCCCTGCTGGACATTTCCAGTTTCCAGGTGGACATTCTCTGTTCCCAACTGGACAATCCCAGTTCCTTGCCCAGCTGGACATTCCCAGTTCCCTGATGGACATTCCCAGTTCCCTACTGGACATTCCCAGTTCCTTACTGGACATTCCCAGTGCCTTACTGGACATTCCCAATGCCCAGCTGGACATTCCCAGTTCCTTACTGGACATTCCCAGTGTCCAGCTGCACATTCCCAGTTCCCTGTCCCCCGGGAATGCTGACCCATCCTCCCCGTTGGCAGATCCTGCTCCGGGCCACCGTGTTTGCCCGCATGCTGCCCGAGCAGAAGACCCAACTGGTGTGCAGCCTGCAGGAGCTCAAGTAAGGCCCAGGGGCTGGATCCCAGGGGCTGGATCCCAGGGGATGGATCCCAGGGGCTGGATTCTGGAATTATAGGGTGGGCAGTGTTGGGAGATGCCTCAACCATCAGCTGGTGGCAC